AAAAAAACAACAATGATATTTTATCATTTGTAGATCAAAAATAACTAAATGAATCGGAGGACATGTAATTACGGTTTTTAAATGAAAAATATGTTTCATAAAAAAAGTGATAAAAAAATGATTCAAAATGATAAAAAGAAAATCATATATTATAACAAAAAGATGTTTACATGAGTAGTGGATTAGTGAATCGAAAATTGACGCAATTTTAAAAAACATGTTAGCATGATTGAAATGAAATCTTTAGAATAGTTTTTACTTTTAGTTAAGCTGCATATATTGCATAACTATATATGAAAAAAATAAAATATTTAAAGTTCAAATAGACGATTTATTTATATGTATATAATAAAGTGTACAGTCCAAATAATTAAATTTTATTTAGCATTTATATTGTTAATATTGATACCGTGATTATTGTAAAGTCCAACTCTCATTTTTACGGTAAATTTATATTATATTAAAATGAATTGATAAGTCTAAAAAGAGATATGGATTGAGTTAAAAAGATTGAATCGTGGTTAAATATCTTGACATCATAATTATATTGTTTTTAAAAAGATATCCATAACATTTGGTTCCATAATATAATGCTTTTAAATATAATTGATTACAAATAGCCGAATTTAGTGTTTAATCAAATATTATGGATTATCTTTTTAAAAATGTCTATATTAATTTATTTTTTGTTTCTTATTTATATTTTAATTTATATTTGTCAATTGACAATATTATGTTTGATCACATTGTGCACGCATATAATTTTTTAGATATAAAGTTGTGAACTTAACAAATATCTTATGTAGTTCACAATCCATATAAACAATTGACATTTGTCAAAATTTATGTGATAACAACATTTATGCATTGTAAATGCTCTTATTTTGTTTTAAATAATTTCAAATATAGTTCTATCCATTCCAAATAAAATTCATACTATTTAAATTCGAACATTTCGTACAAAAAATAAATCACCAACTTTATACCACAAAATCGGAACGGACATTTATTATTAACAACATATTTTTTATGAAAAAATAACAATGGCTATCAGATACTTAAAATAAAACCATCAATTTTATACCAAAATTGGATTTATTAATTTTGTCAACTTTATACCATAAATTAATTAAGAATTTTCTAAAAGTTATTTCTACATTTTGTCCAAAATAATTTTTAGTGGCACATAAATGTTATTTATATTTTAATATTTGGTTATCTTGTCTACGAAGAAAAAGATAATCTTGCAACTCTACTATGCCATCAAAAGATGTATGAAAAATAATATAAATATTAATTTATTATGTTTTACTCAATAGAAATATAATATAGATATAAAGATTGACGATTAATTCTCTATAATTGCTCAATTAAATCTATATATTTAAACTAAGGATTTCGAAAGTTTCTATAATACCTCCATATTTGTTTCCATAAAACTAAATCATCCTAAATTTAAATTCAACTAATAAAGGTAATAACCATAAATATTTGACTAAAAAGATTATGTACATTAATTACATTGATTTTTCTTAATTTACTATTTTTAGACAACAATTAATGAAATTGGCGGGAAAATGTTTCTAAAAGTGAATTATGTTAATCCTTATTATATATTAATAGATATGATTATATGTTTATAAATTTGGAAAATTCTTAAAAGAAAATAACAAATGAAGAATATAATTAAATTGACAAATTAATTTAAATGATTTTATATCATTATTTAAATATAACAATAATTGGCAAATCCACATTCCTTCTTAGAGTTATTAAACAAAACCCGGCTCGAGCTCGGTTGTAGACTCGTTAAGACTTGAAAATTATTTTTTTAATGTAATTTTATATAGTCCATCTCTTTAATAATCGAATTAGGCTCGTTAACATTAATCATACCGGCTCGATAAAAATTCGAGTATGAGTTCGAGCATCAGAAACTCGAGCCTGGCTCGACTCTTTTTTTTTTTTTTTTTTTTT